ATCATAAAGAAACAGTTAAGGAGGAGAACACTGACTTCATGTGAAGTAAATAGAACGCCGTCAGTGACATGGAACCAAAATATGCTTTAATAAAAAAGCCAAGCCACTCTGTTGCAGATGAAAATGTGTTCTTCAGTTCACCCAGGATGCAAAAGCTCTTAGTGAATGCGTCTTAGCCTTGTTTGGTTTCTGTGAGAATCTGGTAAAGGAAACCCTCTCACCAGAAAAATGCATATATGCACATACCCATAAAAGTGTGATTGTCATTCTGGGTACCTGGACTCCCCTGAAAGCCCAGTAATCTTTTGGTTAAGAATCTCGGCTCTGTACTGTAGATATGGCCAAGTTCATGGACTCTGGAATCAGACAAGGCTAGGATTTCACCTGCCCTGCATTTTTAACTTTTTCAAGCTTTAGTTTTATCACCTAACTATGGAAATGATATCATGTACTAAGTACTCAATAAGCACTAATATTGTTATTAGCTAATAAATACAAAACTTGAGCCTCTCAAAGCCAGAGAGGAACTTCAATTCATTTTCACTGCTACAAACATTTACCAATGACAGGATTCTAAAATGAGAATGTGGACCATGGCATGGGCCTGAGCCAGAGAAGTGATAGGCCAGGTGTGCCCCAGGCCAGACAGGACAGACCTCAGGGCCCTACAGTCTCAGGTTGGAAGGAACTTCAACCAGACCCTCTGCTATAGACAGTGACATACAACGCACAGTTGATTGCAATGCCCATTTCACAAAGGGAAACCTCTGACTCCTTCGGTAACATTTTATCTATTAAAGAGGATGGAGATAAACCAAATGTATTAATAATTTGTGAAATTAAATGGGGATGAGAGAGGTAAAGAAGATAGGGAGGGATAAATGGTGATGGAAGGAGACTTGACTTGCGGTAGTGAACACAATACAATATACAGATGATGTATTCTAGAACTGTGCACCTGAAGCCTATATCACTTTATTAACCAATGTCACTCCAGTAAGTCCAATAAAAATTAAATAATAATAATTTATGAAGTTAATAAAACAAATCCCACCACTCAGAATTTTTTTGTTAGCCACAGTTAAGCTATTGATTAAATTTACTTAGAATTAAATGTGGAAATATACGAAAGCATTGTTATGGGTCAACAAAGTAGGTTACAAGGCTCCATTGAGAGCAGTATTTTCTGCTTCCAGCTAATCAGATTCTCTTTAATGCTGTGATAAAGAGGTTCAAAGCTGAGAATTAGATGACTTGGGATCAGTCTTTAAATCCACCCTAACCAATGAGATACCCACAGTATCTCATTTCCTTGGGTATGGACTGTAACGGTGAGTCATTACCTATAGGAGGTAAAGAAGCAAAAAATATATTTAAAAGGCCCAACCACCGTGCTCAGTGGTTGAGCATCGACCTATGAACCAGGAGTTCACTGTTCGATTCCTGGTCAGGGCACATGCCCGGTTGTGGGCTCGATCCCCAGAGTAGGAGGTAGTCAATCAATAATTCTCTCTCATCATTGATATTTCTATCTCTTTCTCCCTCGCCCTTCTGCTCTGAAATCAATATATATATTTAAAAGAAAAAACAGAAACAAATCAATGAAACAATGTTCTCTATTTTCAGGCTCTTTGGGGGCTTACTCTCCTCTGCTGTGCTCTGCCTTCTCCCTGATATTTGAAACTCAAATGTCTACACAGGCCAAGCAAGTAACATGATCCAGTGTGCAGACTGTTGGCCAACCATGGTGTCCTCGAGCCTCTTTGCCTTGAACTAAGGGGGACAGCCCTTACCCAGTTCACCCCAGTGATTTCCATCTGGGAACTGAGCACGTGTTGCCACATTCTATTTTTTTTTCAAGATAAAATTCAAATATAAATTTGTATGTGAAATAACCTGACTTAAATACTGGTAACTAATTCACACTTTCAAAGGAACACTGTATGGGCCAAACAAATTATCTCGGAGGCGCCAGTTTGAGTTTTTGCCCATAGGTTTTGGTGTTCCTGGGAGCTCTACCCCTGAGTTATCTTTTCATTCTACAGTCTTTTTCTAGAAAACCTCATCTGGTCCCATGGTTTAAAGTATCTTCTCTACACTGAAGCCTCCCAACTTACTGACAGTCACAGCCTCTCCCCTACACTCCAGACTCTACATCTAGCTGCCCATTAATTCCACAACAACATTGGCTTTCTTATGGGCACCCGAAGCATCACACATGCAAAACTCAACTCTTTATCTATCCCCACCTGTTTGGCTTCCAGTTTCTCCAGTTCAGTAAAAGTACCTGTGTTGCTCAAGAAATGTGGGAGCCACTGTTTCTCTTCTTTTGCTTGTCCAGTCCATCACTTTTCTGTATATCCTTCTTCTCAAATCCTTTTTTAATTTGTCCCCTTATCTCCAGTCCTATTGCCACAACAAACCAGCATTGCGTTTCATCTGTTTTCCACAATAGTTTCCTCTGGATTATCTCTGTCCTTTGTCCTACCGGCCTATTCTTCACTTAACTGCCAGAGTGATCTTTTAAAATATTAAGTGGATCACATCACTCCCTGTTTAAATGCTCTCTGTGTCTCTACAATGCATGAAACCCAAGAGAAGGAAGTGTGTCAAGTAGATAATGTACTATTGTGTAAAATGGACTGAGAGGATTTTTTTTTACCTGTAAAGCAGTACTAATAATACCTGCATGGAAAGGTTGTTGTGAGAATTCAATAAAGGCCACTGTTATTTCCGCATTAGTTTTATATTGGCCTTTGCAGGAAAGAAGGTAAAAATTACATTGTTAATAGCTACTTCACACTCACCTGCAGAGAACCTTCTAAATGTCTTAGTGACAGCGTTTTCCTTTGTATGATCGTGGTCTCAAAGAAAAATATCTGCCTTGATTAAAGGATAAAAACCTGCTTTTAAAAAGTATGGAGCAGACCAAGTTCAGTTGAAAACATAGGGCACAGTGAGGAATGATTTCAAATGTCTTCAGATAATTTTTTAATGTTTTGAAATGAAAAATGATTAGATAATGTGGTTGATGCAAATGTCACATCATGGAAAGTGAACCCTTTTTTTTTTGCAAATCTCTATTTTTATTCATTTAAATTTACCTTTGCCTTGAGCTGTGCAGGACGTTCCCTTTCCAAAATAGCATCATGACTTCAGCGGCCCATAGTTTTCGCAGTCCCCATGGCCCCTTTTGCTTTTAATTCACACATTCCAGTTTAGAAAACACTACGGTGAGAATGAATGCGAGAAATCTGCTGAGGAGCCAGAAGTGAAGGTGAGAAGCTATCCGAGCAGGTGCAGTGAGCTTTTCCTAGATTTATATGAAAGTCACAATACCACTGTGATGAGCTCTTACCTGTACTTCAACATGAAATAAATTATATCAGTGCAAAAGTTTTATAACCATCAGCCATCTTCAGTACTTAGACATTTTGTTTGGTCTTTTCATTGCCTGTTTATCTTGCAGGATAATTGAATGTACAAGAACTTTTGGCTGTAAAGCTGCCTTTTCTGCAGCTGAGCTCCCCTGACTGCCCTGTTCATACTCCCTAGCTGGACTCTGCATTCCAGTCATACTTAACTGTGATCTGATGTCCAGCTAAGGGCTCCCTATCACCTCCAGACATCTCAATGTGCTATTGCTGTGCTTAAAAGATTCTTCCTTCTCATGCTTCTGGCTAAAATACGAGTTACCCTGTAGAATTCAGTTTAGTCATGGCACCCTACAGGAAGCCTGCTTTGATTCAGCAAATGGTTATGTAGCCCTCTTTCCTGCTGCTATGACACCAGCACAGTGCTTATCCCGTTGTCTTGTAATTGACTAGCAGCTACTGGTCGGCCTGCCTACTGGACAGGAATCATCTCACTCTCAACTACATCCTTAGCACCTAGCACAATCCTTAATACAGAGTGGGGACTCATTATGCCTTGAGTGAGTGAATGATATTTGTGCTTTGCAGAATGTTTGGGAGTAAAACTGAAAAAAAAAAGACAATGATTATGTCTTAAAACTTGAGACAACACTTAGTAGCATTTTTTGGTTTCCTCGCTTCTAATTAACTTTCTATGTCAAGCTCACGGCATAAAAAGCTTTGAATACATTGCCTTTACTTCTCAGTATACTGTGAGCATATTCTAATGTAACAACAAATTCTCTGGAAATGTCACTTAAATGGTTGTGACAAGATGTCCTTTAGAAGTAACATAGTTCATTCAGATATTCTCTGTTGTTGGACTTGGTTACATGGAATGTTTTGCTGCTATAAATAATGATTAAATGGATGTTTTTGCATCTGATCATTTCTCTATAATACATTCTGGAAATTAAGTTACTGGGTGAAAATTTCACAGTTCTACATGTAATCTATCAAAGTGCCTACCTCAATGTACCCTTAACTAACTCTAAGGCTATCTTTTTTAAAAAGTCAAGATTTCAGAAACAAAAAGAGTAGCTCATTTTTACCTTTTATTTATTGGTCATTTTTATTATACTCCTCTGTGAATTGTACCATAGTAATCTGCCCATTTTTCTGTTGTTCTGTTAGTTTTCTTATTGATTTAAAAGCTCTCAATATGTTTAAAATAGTCATTTATAAAATTTTTACAAATATTTCCAGTGTGATATAGGCCTTTTGATCTTTTTGTGTGTTTTTTTTATTTTTATGCACACTTATCAATCTTTTCTTCTGTGAATTGCTCAATTGTTTTTTCTTATAGAACTTCTTGCCCTGTTTAGATAGATATTTTCTTACTTTGATATATTTTCTTCTAGCTTTATTAGTTTCTTTTGTTTACATTTAACTTTTTGCCCCATTTAAAATTTATTTTGGGTGACAATATGACTCTAACTACATGTTGTTTTACACAAAATAATCAACTTTTCTAATATCTTCTCTTGACCTTCAAAGAAATGCTATTAAAGACAATTGAACTAAATAAAAAGCATCATCTAAAGACGTAGCTCAGTGTTCACCATGCACTTTGCTCTCTCCTCCCAGGTGAGCAGGAGCCAGCTGTCAGCAGTGACTCTGATATCTCGCTGATTATGGCGATGGAGGTTGGACTATCTGATGTAGAACTTTCCACCGACCAGGACTGCGAAGAGGTGAAATCGTGAAATGGCGAACACAGAAGAAAGGGATGGTAGGACCCATGGGGAAGGGGGGGAGGCGTGCCCGAGACTTGGACCAGGCACACACACCTCCAGAACACCTCGGCATCGGCAGGGCGCTCTGCTCAAGAACGGTCATGAAAAGCAATATCCAAAGTCCAGCTGATCAGGATGCAGTTTCTCCGTCTCTACAACAGCCTGCGGCCTTGGCAGCTTGGAAGCGGAAAGCTGGTGTTCCCTCCAGGGCCCTTGCAGACACTGAGGCCCCTAACAGACTGAAAGGACACTTTCGGGGCTTCTCGGTGTTCATTTCAGTTTCCCCCAGTGTTGTTTTCTTGTTTGGGAATTGTTGTTTGATTTCCTTGGCAGTTTATTTTTAAAGACCGTGTATAGTTCCCTGTAGGTCCACTTCTTTGTTTTTCCTTCAATCCACTCCAGCTTTTGCATGGAGCTGTGTTTCGAAGCACCCATCCCTGCTGTGATCAGTCCATGTCAGTCTCTGAGACTAAGGACTTTGACCTCTCAGCATGAGTGTGCACGGCTTTGGGAAGGGCCTGGGCACCTGAAACAGGCGAAGGCCAGCTCTCATTAGGAATCTAAATTCTTTTCAATGGATCTTAACACTCCCAGCTGCCAGAGACCCCAACACGGAGCTCTGAATGTGCTGAGGCCGCTGCTCATTCTGCTCAGCAACATCACACTGGCTCCCGCCTGCCAGGCTCCGTGAAGGGCCATGTGACATGAGAAGGAAGCTGTAGGGAGGCAGTTTAATTTGTCTGGATCTTACAGGGTGTGGCTGAAATTCTGAGCTCAGAAGTCCCCTCCAGGCTTTAAAGGCCACTCTCATTGGCTGTAGGACTCTTAGCTGGAACTACGGGGCTAGTTTAAAAACCAGCTACCACCCATTCTTCCTGAAAGCAAACTGCCTGTTGTGCTGGCTCCCCCAAGGCTAGGACAGGCTTTGTTACCTCACTGGCTTCTGCAGGAGATGGAGGCTTTAGGAACGTCAGCTTTGAACCTGGTGTCCACCACCATGGGGGTCTCACCTTCATTCCAACACATCTGTTACACCTCCCCAGCTCGAGGGTTGTAGGTGAATCCTTTACAGATTGTTTCCCAGGTCTCCCTGAGGGTGTCCAGACACCAAGTGAGGAGGGAGGGAGGAGTCGATGAACCATCTGGTCTAAAAAGTCCACCACGGGAGTTGGCTAAGTCCAAGTTTCTCCTGACTGAGAGAGACAGAGAAAGAAAAGGAGGCATCTGTATTTTGAAACGGTTATGTTTGTATCTTTTTTTGTAACTGTGACAGAAATGTGCTATTTTTTTCTGTGGGCAATTTTGTAATCCATGTAGACTCTCCCCACGCAGATGACTAAGGTGGTGAGCCGTCTCCCTGGACAGCCATGGTCACCTTGTCCTCTGCAGGAGGCTGACCGGGACAGGAAGCTGCACTCCCTGAGTTCTCTGTGCATCGAGGAGGCTTTTCCCTCTCCTCACACTAGCACTCACCCAAAAACAGAGTTTGGCTCTGCCGTGCGGCCTTGCTACCTGCTGAAGCGTAGGGTGTAGGTCAAGGAACACTGCGGGGTGCTCTTTGCCACCACCTTTGACCTTTCCTACTTGATGCTTTCTACTTAGGTAGCAAGGCTAAGGGAAACGATTGCCACCTTCAGAGATAACCCATCTGTCTGGGAGTCCAGCCCCTCCTGTACTGAAATCCAGGGAGAAATGAGGACGGCACTGAGGCAGGAGGCGGGAGGCCCAGGTGAGCCGCGTGCTTGCTGGGCCTCAACCTCTTCCTCTGTAAAGTGGAGGAATTGAACAAGGTGGTGCCCAAGGCTCCTGTGGCCGTAGGACCACCAGTGAGCAGCTGGCCAGGGGATCTATTTATTGCAGGTAGCGATGGCAGGTAGCCCACTTTCCACCTTGGAGAGGCAGAGGTGCTGGGCGTGTAACATAGAGGAACAGCTTTGGGGATTTGGCGCTCCTGGGTTGCTAAGAATGAACATCTCAGTGATTGAAGTTTCCAGCCAAAGGAGGAGTTGTTTGGTTTCACCTTGTTCTCAATCTGCCGTTAGTCACAGAGTTTGCCTTCTCTGGACCCCTCAAAGCCTGGTTCTCAGTGTGCAGTTCTTCATCTCCAGGTGTTTCCTTTCTCAGTCAGAAAGGGCCTGCAATACCTACTCCTCCTGTCAGCTTGGCCCCAAACAAACTTCAGTGATAACTTTAGTCAAGTGGACTTAAAAGGGCAATTGAACAGAAGACTGCATTGTATTGCTTACCCAGAGAGAAAATGCCTGTGGAGTGCATGGTCCTCTGACCATGGTTCTCTCTTCCTGCCATGACCAGGTGCAGAGGAATCGATTGCATGTGGCTGCGGCAACCCCTAGAGGGCGCTGTGTAGATGCTGAGGGCCAGGAGGCTCCCTGGAGGCCTTGTGGGCCTGACCCCATGGAGGCTCTGCCGCAAACCCCCTGAGTCTGTGAGGTTCTCCAGTTACCAAAGGTCTGTCTCTGGAGACTCCTCCTGTAGTTTTTTAAACAATTTTTTTAACCAGCATAGAAGGATGCAGAAGAAATGGAAACAGCCCTTCCCCCACAGTGTTTCTCACCACCTCCCACCAAAGACCTGGGGATTCCATGGTTCATGGAGGGTGTCAAAAGGTTGGAGAACCCTCTGCAAGTATATGCAAATTGCGTATTTGCTGATTTGCATTTTTTCTGTCGTACGTGTCTAGACCAGCACCGTCCAATAGAAATGTAATGCCAGTCACACGAGTGATTTTAAGTTTTCTACTGGCCACGTTAGAAAAAGTAAACACGTAATAATAATTTAATAATATATTTTTTGAATCCAATATTATTGTCTCAACATGCAATTCGTGTAAAAAGAATTCATGAAACACCTTACCTTCTTGTCCATACTTAGTCCTCTAAAGCCGTTGCATAGTTTACACTCATGGCGCATCTCAATTTGGATGAGCTACCGATTGGACAGCACAGGTCTCCGGCTTCCACAATAATCTCATAAGGTTCCCCAACCCTTACAAAGAAAAAAGGTGAAAACCTAATTACCTCCTAAGAGAACTAGACTCCACCCAAGTTGCCTGATCAGAGGCCCCGAGATCCGTTTGTTTTGTAATGGATAAATGTTCAGGCCGCCCTTTCTGAAATACCTGCTGGGACTTTCTCACCACACCACTGATGTCCATTACCATTTGCTGTGATTTCTCTGACCAGTTGTTTTGTAGGAAGTCACACAAGCCATGTTGATTTGGTGCTGAAACAAAAGGATATCCCTCACTCACTTCCATGGCAAGCCCTTAGACTTGAGCCAAAGAGAATCCCAGACTGGAGTCATCCAACTTGACCTCAACCCCTAGCTGTCCTTCTTCCTCTAGGAGTTGCTACCTCCTGTTGGCTGGTCCCTTTGGGAGGAACTTAGCCCGGATCCTGAAGACAGCACCTGCATGTTGATGGAGTCTCCAGGGCTTGTCACCCCTGAAATGTCAACTGCACCATCTAGGCAGGGCGAGGGGAGAGTTTGAGATGGTAGAAAGTTACTAATGGCAAAGGCACCTACCTATTCTGACATCACATAGTGAGCATCATACCCACGGAGGCAAGTCTCCATCCAAAGAGGTTTGTTTATTTTGTCTTGTTTTCAGCATTTCCCTCATTCTGGTGGAAATGTCTCTGGACATTCTTGGCTCTGGGTTTGGTCGTATGGAAATCCATGGTGCCCGTGGCTATTTCCATTAGTGTCCTGACCTCCTTGCAGCCGCCATGCTTTCAGGACCGAAAATGCTGACAGGGAGCCTAGCATAGGATTCTTCCTCATTTGTTTAGTTTTCTTTAGGTGAAACTTCTCGCAGAGCATGCAGAATAAATGGCATTTAATCTTGACTGCACACAAAGAATTCCCATGAAATCAAACTCTTTCAGAAAATCTGGGATGTAGAGTCACATCCTCTATGGAGCGAGGACCCAGCTTTCTGGTCCCAGGGTCCCAGAGGCAATGTCCGGTAGCATGTGTTATGTGCTCTGACTTGGAGTTCTTTCCCTTTTCTGTCTCTGTGTCCAGCTTTCTCTGACTACCTGTCTGTCTCTGTGTACGCACACCTACACACATTCTTCTCTCCTCTTTCAGAAAAAACCTTGGTGGCTCCAGACCTATAGAGTCTCTAATGTGATTACCATCCTTAGTGTTGGTGTTTTCTTCTTATTCATGACAACATCTATAGCTGCACTGCAGACGATAATACCCAGTTTACTCTAAAGGCAAATTAACTTCCTCCTTAAAGGAGCTAGCCCCATTTTCACTTTCATGTCTAATTTTATCACAGACCATCTATAGCTATTGCCTTTTTCTCCCAGGCCTCCTTGCTAGAAAAGTCTCCCAGGCAAGTAATGGCAAGGAAACAACTCCAGAATGCTGTCTAGGTTTAGTATCTCCCACCTCCAGCATCTGTGACCTTCCTGGCTCAGCCCAGGCCCCAGGGGCTAGGGTTTCTTAGAAAACTGTGTGGGCCGTACCGTATCCGATGGCCACTCTGCTTCCTAACATTGTAGCACAAGAGCTTGCTCTTTGTAAGTGATCTGAGAGGCCACCTCTTCCTTAAGACTGAAAAAGAGACACAAAGAAACCAGCTTCCTAACGGGAGGGACATGGGGTTCCTTGGGCACTGCTCTGTGTCCCAGAAGTCCCTCATCCATGCCATTGCAGGGCCAGGACAGAGAGTGCATCTGGTGATGGCAGGCCAAGGTGGTGTGGATACCACCCGCAGGGAGTGGGAGCAGAGGGTGGCAGGATATGAATAGGGGCATTCTTCCCAATAAATGCTCATCTCCTGGGTTTAGAGCCAACCTGGTTCGTGTGTGTGTGTGTGTGTGTGTGTGTGTGTGTGTGTGTGAAGGAGTTAAACACTCATGATTGCAGAGGTTTGGATTACCTAAAAACTAAATTAATTCTGAGAAGTAGGTATGAGTTTCTCATCACTTACCTCTTCCCTTTTCCCACTTTGCTCCCCATCTCACAACTCCAGGCCCTTTGTAATAGAAATGATCATTTGTGAAGACCCTTAGATCAGTAGCCACACTTTTCCATGTTGAGTCTTCTGACAGCACTGAAGTGTCCCCCCAAAACTAAAGAAGTGATTCCATGTCCCAGATGTGGACCTTTCACTATCGATCCCCTGAGCTGCACAACCAGCTTGTTCTGCAAAGAACCTGCTGATGTCGTTCACGTCTCTGCTTTCCTCCCTCTGAGCTATGCCTGCTCCAGTGCTTCATCCGTGGCTTTCTGCAGGAATCTCAGTGATCAAAGGCCTTCTCATCCTTGTCACTATTGACGTTTGCACTTACTACAGAGTCCTTCGCTCTGTGGCCACCCGATCAATGTTTGTTGATGATATGATAAGGCAAGTAATTGCATTTCTCAAAAGGCTGCAAGTCTAAACAGAGCACAGGAGAAGGATCTGCGGAGAAGGTAGCTCAACCTGAGTTACCCATAGTCACTGCCTGTTCTTGTCATCCTGAAGGAAGCGGAGGGCTTAGAGAAGCAGGGAAAATGTGGGGACCATGTGTGCTCTGTAAACCAAAGATGGCTCACCATCCAAATGGACACATGCTTCTTCCATTGATCAGTTGCATTGTCTCCTAATGTTCTCATGAAGAAAAGGGAAGGTGTGTTGCCTCGTCAATCAAAGGAAACCGTGAAATCTTCAGGGGGTTTCTTTTGCACGCTGGCAATTGACCTTGACCTTTCTAAATCCGGAAACATAAAAACAATGTCTTGTGGCCTTAGTACCACAACATCTTTAAAGTCTAGTGGTTAGTTCCCCTTTCCCTCAGAAGTTTTAGAGAAACCGAGTGCTTTATTCAACTCAGAATATTGTTCTCTTGAAGAATGTGATGATTTTACATAGCCAAAGAATTTTCATGTACAAGAGCTAGTTAATTAGTATCCCACTCTTATGAAGAAAATACCAAACGATTGCGGTTAAAGAAGGATGATTAACAGGAACTCTGCTGTCTGCGTTTGTGTTGGTATCTATGGCACTTACTGTTCAGTGGGATGTTATTGTGAGGGGGCAGAGCGCCCTCTGCTGCAAAATCACCATTCTTTCAGCCGGTTGATTTGACTAGAGTCATCATTTCATCAACACCTAGTTGTTTGCCTTTTATTATCCAATTCCCTCAGTAGTTGAGAATTTGGTTTATCAAAAGAGAAAGGACTGTCACAAACCCTGAAAGGTTGAAAGCCAACCCCACTGAAGACCTCACTGTCAGTAGCCCTTCCTTCTGCAAAATGTTGACAAGTACTGGGCTCTGTTTGTAACAAGAGGCCTCTGGCTGGAATGTTGGTGCAGTTATAAGGCAACGGCCTGATGGTTCTGTAACTTAACTTGATTCTTGTCCAATTGCAAAGGAAGCTCAATAAACAGACTTCTTTCATATGAATGTAGATGGTATGAAATATGTGTTTTTGTATGTGTACATAATAATATATTGACTTCCTGCTTTCACATTAGTAATCTGAAATGGTTGTACCATTTTATAATTAGAAAGAAATGTAGGGGTGGGGGAAGGTGGAAGGGCTATTTTTATAGTGGGATGTTCCTTATATTTAGAAAACTTGAAGTAATTTTGTATTTGTGAAAAGTTACATTCCATTCAATTCCTGAAAAAAAATAATAATAATGGGTCTTGTTCTTTAAAGTATTCATGAGCTGAGAGAATGATGATCCTCGTTTCCAGGGGAGCCTTCCAAGAAACTTGTATATGACACCCAATTCTGTAGACTGCAGACCATGACCTGCAATTGCCAGTTCAATGTGAAAAGGGAAAAAAAAAAACTTATTTTAACCCCTCTGTATATAGCACATTATTCCCACCGAAAAAGACATCTGCTACAAAGAATGCACTTACCATTATGAAATAGTCCAACATGGCATCATAAATCCATCTCTAGTAGCTCCCTACTAGCAAGAAAGAAAGAATCCAATGGCTTTATTTTTTCTTTCTAAACATGAATTGTGTTTTTATTGTAAAATGAATGACGTCACAGATAGAATTTGACTTCACTTCCCCAGGAGGTCTCTCTGGCCCGTCTGCAGATCATGCCCGTGGTGGTCCCGGCCGACAGTCCCCACCCTCTCCCTATTCAGATCCTGAGACCGAGCTCCCTGGATGATCTGCCACGTGACTCAAAACCCACAGTGATTCCTGATGGTGTTTTCATGGGTAACTTTTAATTTGGACTTTGGTTTTCTCTTCAAAGCTGAAAATTTGAGTAATGAATTGTGTATCTATTTTACCCAAACATCATCTTCTGTACAAAGTCACGGGGAATATTTAAATGATTAGTTAAGGCAGTGTAGTTGTTGTTTATTTCCTGTATAAATCTCAGTTCTTCTTCCCCACCTCGGGCCCCTACCTTATTCCTTCCAAAGCACTTTATAACTCGAAATACAAAGAAGTTTTAAAAAACGGTCTTTAAAGGGATTTGTCTTCTGTTAGGAGACATGGACTTTTCTTTCCCTTGATTCTATTCTCTGTGTGCTTGGAGAGCATAAACCTTTTGTCCCCTACTGGGAGTGGTGAAATGTTAAGGACGAGAGTCGGAAACATTCAAGCGTACAACACAGCTATTTTTGTTATATAGAAGACTATCGTGTAAATAAGTGCCATCGTGTTCTTATGTACTGGTTTTTTAAAAAAGTGCAACTCTAATGATTGGAAAAGGATTGTGAATTCCAGGAAATTTCATTGCAAAATTTTGTTTGGTTTTGTTTTTTAATAAAATGGAACTAGATGCTGGTGTTTGTGTCATCTGTATTTCCTCAGTGTTGCCTCTTCTTGAGTTCCAGAGGAGGTCCTGTGGATTTTGGGTTTTTATCTTATTTATTTATTTATTTATTTTTAATCCTCACCCGAAGATGTTTTTCCATTGATTTTTAGAGAGAGTGGGAGGGAAAGGAAAAGACAGAGAGAAATATCGATGTGAAAAAAACACATCGATTGGTTGCCTCCTACACGTGCCCGACCAGGGCCCTGGCCAGAGAGGAGCCTGCAACCAGGTACATGTCCTTGACCTGAATTGAACCTGGAACCCTTCTTCCACAGGCCGACACTCTATCCACTGAGCCGAACCAGCTAGGGCTGTCCTATGGATTTAAAAACCCTGATATTTATAAAAATCTTGATTGTGATCAAAGAAGGAGAGATTTCAATAACTTCATTATTTCTCTCCTGTACTAGGCACCTGACCTCCTCGTAGCTCTTTGCATCTCGGTGAAGTGATGGAAATATTTTGAACAATTGAGAAGCGTGGGGGCTAACTTAGCTTGCGGTGTGTCATGCCGGGACTGAGCCCTGTTGTCTGAGCCGTCTGGGGCAGACAACCCCATGCAGGGTTACACCCAAGGCCCACCAGGTGCGCTGGGTGGCCGGGTCCCTTTTTATATTCACTTGTACATCTCTAAAGGATTTTAAAACAGCGGTCCTTTTGAATTAGCAAGAAAAGGAAATGCTAAGGAAATAAGAAAGACAGAGCCACAGCCTGGGGAGGAAGGAAAGGATAGGCCCCTATTTGCTGTTCACTCACTTGAAACTGCCAGGCCCCTCGGTGGCCCGTCCAAGGTTGCAGCACAGCCCCTGGAGGCACAGGGGGGTGGACATGCCAAGTACAGCGCAGCCTGGCCAAGCCTGCCTTCCACCTGGCCGGGTGCCCCTCTCCGCTGTGGGCTGCACACAACCTGCTGGCAGCCGCTCAAACTGCATGGAGGGTGGCAGCCTCCTGAGCTCTCTGCTCCCCACCCGGGGAGCTGCTGTGCCCACAGTGGAAAACATCAGTGCCCGGGGCTGTGCTCTCGGGGCTAGTCCGCACTTAGCTCACAGCGAGGGAGATGCTCTGGAGGGATTGTTAGTAACAATAAGGATCACGACACATGACAAGGGACTTTAAGCTTTGTTTACACTTACAACAGCGCCATCTTTCTCTGCCCGGACGCCTACTGTCTGCGATGAAGCTGCCGTCTGGGGCCCTGACGCTGGTTGCAGCACAGAGTCCCAAGGTCAATTCATTGGGGGAAAAAACGCTTCATACAAGACATAGGAGCTATTAAGAACTTTCAAGAAGGCTTTTATGAAGTCACCGATGTAACTTTGCATTACTCGGCTTTTCTAAAGCTGATTGAAGACAGAAGCCCTTTTTGAAGGGTTATATTTCCCAGCACTGCATTGGACAAGACCATTGTGTGGAACGTGTTGATGCTCAAACTAGAAAGAAGCTACTAGACCTGGTTCCCCACCTCCCCATCTCACATGCCCCACAGGCCGTCTTGTCTCTCTCTCTGGTCCCTGCGCCACGTCTGGCAGGGGGAAGTCAGCCGGAGACGCCCAGGAAACGGGATGGGCACTGCTCGGGGACATGCGTGTGCCAGGGAGCACCGGTGGCTGCGGAGCTTACAGTCACACTTTCTCGGGGAAGTAGGGCCCTGCCCACTCTGGGCCTTTGTTTTGCAGCATCTTTATCCTTTTGAGGATGGAAAATGGAAAAGTCCCCAGAGTTTTGTAACAAGCCAGCCAGGCCAGCTTTGCATCGGATTCTTAGTCTGTTAACACCTCAGGGGTACTAGGAGCTAAACCACTATTCAGGGACCAAAAATGTGTTTGGTCTTTTCTAAGTCTCGTAAGTCCTCCTAAGCCCACGTTAGCATCCCTACTCCTCTCCTTGCCTTGGCAGAGAAATACATGCGCCAGGTTGGGGAATGGGCTGGTGAGGGGAGAACGCGGGTTTTTTGTGTTTTTGTTTTGTTTTGTTTTGTTTTGTTTTGTTTTGTTTTGTTTTGTTTTGTTTTGTTTTGTTTTGTTTTGCTCAGTGATGACTACAGAAGAGTGAGAGTACCAGCTCCTGAGAAATTCAAGTGACAATTTAGGAGCTACTTTAGGGCAATTGCTCCATCACCCATAGTGATCCAAGCACAGAAAGTTAATTTACGTCGTATTTCATCACACCCGTTGGTATGGAGTCTCCCTCAAATCTCACTGTGACTGTCTGTCCTTGGTGGTGAGAAGAATAAGGGGCTCTGAGCTCTCCGTGGTGCCACCTAAGACCAGGGAACCCTCAGCTCCACGGAGGTGAGTTCTCCCTTCACTTCTTCGCGTCCCAGCGCCCTGGCGCAGGTGGGATGCCACCCGGGGTCCAGGCAGTGGGGCCTGTACTCACTGGCACCCTGGGAGGCAGAAACTCAACTCCCGAGCTCCTCTGACCTCTCTGCTTTAGAAGACATGCCCGCCCTGCCCCCGTGGGGACATCCCGAAGGTCTGGTCAGAGCCCCTAACCTCAGCACCCCCTCCGCGCCTCCCACTAACATTCCTGCCCTCTTTGTTCTCCAGGGTCATTTACTGAGCAGGGGAGAAGCCAGAGCAGCTCTCACTGGCGGGCAGCTGCCTTTGGTTGCTATGAGAGCTGTATACACAACACAGCTGCCACCGCTATTATAGATCTAGCGGGAGCCCAGGCGCTCAAATCCCTCCGAAACACACACACAATTCCGAGCTTTGGAATTGGCATCAGTATCTATAAATAAATGTGAGAGCAGCAGAGTTGATTAGCGAATGTAAGGATGCAACGGAGTCAGGCCTGAAGATACGCTGGGCCCGGGTCTGATGTGACACCCGCAAAATTCCCAGCGAGTCCAGTCACACATAGCCTCTCCTTTACAACGTGGAATATGAAAAGTGGACCCCTGCCTCTTGTCACTTTCCCATTTCCTTTTTTCCATTCCCTTTGTTTGAATGGAGGAGGAAGGGGAAGGGAGGGTGTTAGCTAAGGCCAGGGTTAGAGCTGGAGCGGGGCTTTCCTGACCCAGTGCCAGAGCTCTCTGGGCTGCACCACAATCCTTCCACCAACGCAGGCAGCTCCAGGCTGCTCGGAGCTCTCAGGAGGGGAAAGCAAGAAACACTGAGAGCCGGACTTTGTTCTAGCAACAGGAAAATTCTTGTGCAGTCAGGAAATACTCCCTGAACAGCAACAATTCTAATCTGCAAGCAGAATGGGATGGAGGGAGGTATGGTATGTGAGAAAGTACAAACATACATATTCACACACTCCCACACTCATTCACTCTCACACACCACCACCACCATTACTACCGCCAACATGACCACACTTATTACCTACATCTCTCATTCATTTGGCCCCTTAATTACCCGCGAGAATACCCCCGCATAGCAGAAA